AAAGACTTCCTCTAAGTTGGGTAGAGCGTACGCGTCCTTGATCGTCTGGGAATTCAGTTTACGAAAATCGATGCAGAGCCGTACCGAGCCGTCTTTCTTTCGGACTACCACTATAGGCGAAGAAAAAGGAGATTCGGACTCACGAATAACTCCAGCAGTCATTAACTCCTGAAGATGCTTTCGAACAGCATCGATGTCTTGGGGGTGAATCGGACGTGCCCTATGCTTGAAAGGTGTCTCGTCAGTTAGTCTGATTTGGTGCTTCACTTGACCCGTACGACCAAAATCAAGATCGTGTAAAGAGAAAACTTCACGCATGGAATTCAAACGGTTTGAAATTCGCTCCTTCCAGTCTGAAGACAAAGGAGAATCTCCGAAATCAAAGGTAAGATTAGCAGAGGTGGGTGCTGGTGATTCTACTCCGCTAGGATTCTGGGCTGCGTTCTCTATCACTTTCTCTACAGCGTGTATCTCCGCAAGTACAGCTTTAGGAGGGATCGTTATGTCTGTCTGAGTGTCATTCTTAAGCAAAACTGACAGCTGAGAAAATCGTCTAGACGGCAATGCGTGTACACAGCTTGCAACTGAAAGACCGCTTAGTGATGGGGTTGACGGTGGTTCAAGAGTTACCCATTTCTCCATACAAGGCTCCCAAAGCTGAACATAACCATTCAGGACTACTGTGCTCCCGGCAGGCACAACCTCAGGGATACTCCCCATCAATTTCACATGCCCCAATGGCTCACTGCTAGCTTGTCTCCATCTTGCTTCAAGAACATTAAGCACTGCCTGATACCCATGGAGATTTGAACAAGGATTATTCTGCTTTTCTCTAATGCAGTGGCCATAAAGTACATCCAGGGAGTTGGTACCTACCAGAACTTGCGACAGACTCTTTAGATCCGGAACTACCAAAGCTAAGGTAGGGACTTCGACTTCTGCGCCTACAAACTCTTTCGGGAACTTCAAAGCCAGCTCGATGTAACCCAAATACGGCACGGCTTGCCCATTGGCCCCCTCTACCTCCAACAAATTTTCCAACGACTTCAGCGGGTGATCAGATAGATGTGACTCGTAGAACGACTGAGGAACTGTAGTAACTTGAGATCCTGTGTCTAGGAGACAATTTACTACTTTACCGCCGATAACGATCTGCGCAGTGCACTTTACTCCCACTAACCCCTCCGGCAGGTTCCTTAAAGGTATTTTATGCTGATTGTTCGCGACAGGTGCTTGCTTACCACACTTAGGGCGGGTTCTTTTACATCTCATCTCCGTATGCCCCACTACAGAGACGTCCCTTAGTTTAAAGGCAAAGAGGAATTCCCATGCATAGAGTCCCACTGAGCCTGTTGCTCTCTCAACTTACAGCGCTTTTCCTCAACTTTCAGGCGATTTACCGGATTATCGCAGGCAACAGCCAAATGGCCATCCTCTCCGCATCGAAAGCAATATCCGGGACGAGGTCGATTAGTCATTGGTTGGGCCCTTCTAACATCTCGGCCAGTATCGGTTTTCAACAAATTCTGAGGCGGAAAAATTTGAGGACTACCGGTCGCCCGAAAGTGATCTCTAGAATTCCTTTGAACAGCACTCTGAGCTTGCAGCTCAGCTACCTGTCGTCTTAAGTTAGCGACTTCTGAACTATCTGAATGTTCGCGCTTTACTTCTTGGGTCATGGAAACTCTCATGGCGGCTACCTGAGCGCGCAACTCTTCCACTACTCCCCTCAAAACGTTCAATTCTGCTTTCTCAGAGCATCCGCTCTGGCGTTTCTGATCTGGATTTCGACTTAGAGTAGCAAGTTGAACCTGAACATCTGCAAGTTGTTGTCTTAGAGAATCGCTTTCAGAAGTGCTAGCATTTGGTGCCTCATGTGAATATACTGACACTTGCTGAGTGGCCGCTCGTGGTTTCGGGTAAGCAACAGGAGTTTTCGACAACCCAAGATGCTTTCTCATTCGCTCTTCTTTAGAGGTACGCTTACTCTCCTCTGCTCGTATTAACACAACCAATTCAGCAAAAGTGGGTGGCCGGGTTCCGCTCTTCCCTAACTGAAGGCTGTCAATGAGACCATTATCCCAACATCCCCTCATAAACTGTTTCAAAAGACAACGGTCATGATCTCCCTCCGCGATGCCTCCCCTCTTAATCGTCGAACTTAGAAGAACTTGCAACCGGTGCAAGAAATCTGACGACTTTTCACCTTGGTTCTGTAAAGTGCCCATAAACTTGGCCAACAGTTCGTCACCATCCTCTACTGAACCATACACTGATTCTAGTAACTCAAGGTATACCGCAGGCAAAGCTGGAGGTCGCACATGCTTCACTACGTCTGCGGCAGGAGGCAATAAGCTATCTAAGATCCTACGTACCCCTTGTAAATCGGAAATGGCCGGATCACTTAACAGGAGCTCTACACTTACTCGCCAAGTGTCAAAATCAGGTTCATTTGGAGGGCGCGGGCACCTCCCTGAGAAATTCCTAAGGCGAACTGAGGTTTGCTGAAACATCGCAGCATCAGCCGACTTCACTATGTGCTCTACTACCATCCTTTGAATACCCGGTGGGTCTACAACGTTCATGGGGAAACCAGGGCTAGTAGTCACTGTGACACCATCAACAGTGGTCTCTGGATCTGGGGAGGCCATATGGGCCATCCGTCTCTTGGTTGGGCTTTTGGATTCTAAAATTCGCATCCCTACTGCTTCTGTATTGCTGAAATCATCACAGCTCACTTTTCGCGCTCTTTCTGGAGTACAGTTAGTGGAGTGAACTTCTTGGAGTTCGTCCAACTCCTCCTGAGACACATTTGAGAGAGGCTTTTCACTAGTCGTCTGGTTACAGACGCTAGCCAGAGCTCGTACCTGGAACATAACGCTTGGGTCCGAAAGGCATCCCAGAGTTAAGGGTAACATCGGCGTTAAGTTCAGCATCGCAGAGTTGTGAGCATACTCTACAATAGCCTGCTGATGGAACTCGGAAGTTTGGTCATCAATTATCAGATTGCTCTTAATTGAGCCGTACTTTTGCAAAAAGTTTACTAGCTCTTCGTCTACCTCGGTCAACGTGAGGCCTTTGACTATGATCGCATTTCCCACGTTCACGTTCTCTTTCTCTATGATCTCCATAACCACGATGTAAAGACAACACTCGGAAAAAACTGATTTCACGTCACAAATCTGCTTGTTTCCTGCCTCCCTTACCGGTTGCTAACTTGTTGCTAAGCAAAGGTCTCCTGGCTGGCTCGCCAACTTTCTGTAACACGCCTCGCGGCTAGAACACAACCCCCACTCTCAAACTACGAAATATGCAGATGAGCATGAAGAAGGTGCACCGCTCTAAGATTTGGACCAGCGATCAGAAGACTAGACTCGCTCAAGAGACCGTGTGAACAACAAGGGGAAAGAATCAAGGACACACTTGAACTGCGTTAGAACAGGTAAGTATATTTCGAGGAATTAGTAAATAAAATAAAGAAATAGAAGAATGATAATAGGACAAGGCAGTAAAATTTCAAAACATTGTCACATAACTCAAAAGAGGAAAAATAATAAATAATCAGGAAGACGGCAAAAGTTTTGTTCTGGACAAGTGAAAGTGTGACTTCTTTACACTAGAGTTAAGTCCTATTTAGGTTCAAGCTAATAAATCTAATTTATTTTCCCTTTCTTTTATTTTTTTTATTTTTATTATATATATATATATATATATATATAAAGCTAATTTGACCTATTTATAGTATAATAATTTAGTTAATAGAATAATTTAATTCTAATTACAGTTAAACCTAATTTTAGCTATGTTTAAATCTAATTCTAGCTACAACTTTTTCACCCAATTACCCTTTAAATTCTCCTTTCAACTCTCGTTACCTTAGAAACAAAATAGGAAACAAATGAGAAAAAACAATACAATATTCAATCAGAATAAAAAAATATAAAAATGAAAATATAATAAAAATACAAAAGGACTTGAAACAATCAAAAAGAAATAACAGCAACGGGGAAAATTTGAAATCACACTAAGTCCAATTTAGTGCTCAACCAACAGTGTCAGTTATATCAGGTTACCGAATTTCAGCTTCAGTCTGATGATCCTTCCGCGAGATCCTTCTTCCGCAATTCAGGCTTAGTCAATACAGAAAAGAAACGTGTGCACAATCCTACCACTCAGCTCATTTCCTTGATTCAAGACTCAGTCCTTATATGGGCATGGCTCGCCAGTTCCCGCTCACAATGGCTTCCTTTCTGATGTGCAACGGGGACAATACACGTGCGAAATCTTCGTCAAACTCGTTCAGCATCCAGGAATGTGCAACGTCCGTCTCAGCAAATGAACATGGAAAGGGGAAATATAATAAAAGTGTCCAAAAAGAAAACAAGGGAAAGGGAGGAAAAAAAAAAAACCCAACCAAGAGAACTCAATTTTTCGATTATGAAGGTTTTCAAAGGCAAACTCCTACTTTAGGCCCAAATCCTCTGCAGCCTAACGTGCAATCAGTCACACGTTCACCCGTACTCATTCACCGATGAAACTCAATCCTTACTTCAGTTTCAAAGTCTCTCAAAAGTTATTTCTCCAATACAACTGATAGTTATTCTCGGTTCTAATTAAAATTTCTTCTCTCTTCAGAATCGCACCATCCGCTTCTCAAGATCGCGCCATCTGCTCTCTCTCTCGCAAGGAGTGTTTCATCATCTTACGTTTTGGCTCCACCCATTAAGGCGGGGCTCATTCTCTGCTCATCAATTTAGAATAAAAATCTAAATGAATCTAAATTCATGCATTTTCTCATTTTTCCTCTTTCAAGATATTTAATAAAATAACTTTACATATATTCATGTTAAATGTCAGTGTCTTCTTTTTTTTCTTTTTTTCCCTTACGTCAACAATGTCTCTTTAGTAACCTGGGTTACATTTGGTTTGGGGTCGATCTGGTTCCGGGGTCGGGGTGGGGTGGGGGTGCACCGGCTGCACTGGCCTATGGACGGCCCTGGCTACAAGAGAGACAGAAGGGCTCCCCTGTCTGTAGAACTCCTGCCTGGCTGCGGGGTAGTGGAGTATTTTGAGAGATTACAGATAAAGAGACGGTCCTCTTCCTTTTTGATCCAACGCAGCAGTTTAGTGAGTTCACTGATAGCTGATTTCTTAGTGATAAGAGGAGTAAAGCAGGCGTACATCTCAAACTTGCTAGTGACCTATAAAACAAGAGGGCGAGTTTAGGAAATACATACCGGTACTGTACATTTTAAATACCTTTCAAAAGTTTGGGGTTGGATTTTTTTTGATGTTTTTGAAATATCGTAAGTCACTTATGCAAAAAAAATTAATATTGTGAAATATTGTTACAATTTAAAATAATTGATTTCTATTTGAATACATTTTAAAATGTAAATTATTCCTGGGATCAAAGCTGAATTTTTAGCATCTTTACTCCAGTCTTCATTGTCACATGATCCTTCAGAAATCACTCTAATATGCTAATTTGCTGCTCAATAAAAAAAAAAAAAATATATATATATATATATATACACACAAACACACACACACACACACACACATACGGACACAATAAGAAAACCTATATAGGTCAGTTTTGTTTTCTTGTTGAATGTTTTAAACCCAGAACATTCTTTCAAGTATCCTGAACTAAAGTTATCTTGATTCTTCTAAAAACAGATTGTCACATACCCACGCCAGCACAGTTTCTCTTTCTGCAGAATGGTAGATAAGTTTAAGGGGCCGTGACATACTGTGGATACGATTGTGCATGTTTCGATACAGATCCAGCAAATGTATCTTCTCATCCTGGGTTCTGTATGCCACATCCATCTCTGGGCTGAGTGAAGCGATATAAGAAAAAAAAGAGGCATCATTTTTAGCACGATAATAGTGTGCATCATCGATTACAACAGACATTATTCATGAAGACATGTGACCTGATCACACCACCTACAATATTACAGTGGCAGAGATGTGTCTTATGAAAACATAGACTGTCAATGCAAAACAGAACTCAGTTTCAGTCAATTTGAGATAGACACGGTTTAAACAGACATGGACTGTTTCCACACATCATGTGGTCTTTGATGCTTCAGTCTAATCATTCAGTTGACCATATTTGCTTGCATTTTTGCATAAAAGGCACCTCTCAACTGTGTCCACACAGGGTCTGAAACAATTCAGCCGCGTGATTAGCCGAATCAAGTGATTACTGTTGTAGAATTCATGGCAAAGTGGTCTAATCTTTTGCAGAATGTGGAAATCCTGGATTATAGGCCATCGTTTATCAGGATACGAGACCCATCTGGTGTTTCTGCTGGCAAAAGAACCACTGATTCCGATAAATGAGTCAAACCACTAATGATTTGTTCGTTTACTTGTGGTTAACGCTTTTTAGTGACTGCTTTAGGTGAAAACTGCATTCACCACCCATTTTACTTCTGTAATAAACAAGCCACGAATCGCGCAACTTGATTGGATGATGAAAAGTGGGTGTTTTCAGAGTCAGATCTTAATACCGAAGAATCTACTCTTATTTGTCATTATTGTTGTAGCATTTAATTAATTAATGTTAACTATTAAAATACTTAAGAATTACTTAGAAATACTTAGAATAAATTATAATTAGATTACTTTTACAACGCCTAAATATATTTCGCTGTTGGTTAACATTATTTTTCCTTTCCTTGCGGCCCATGTCATCCGAAAAGAAATGTCATTTCAGAGGAAGATCAAGTTGTTACATTTTCGTGAAAGTTAATGAAGGCAAAACATTTGTTAGTTTGGAATAAAATGCACTGGTGAAGTGCGCATAAGACCAGGAACATGTGTTAAAGAGGACCTATTATGCTTTATTTTTTCAACTTTCTTAAGTGTGTAATGTTGCTGTTTCAGCATGAAAAAGGTCTGCAAAGGTCTTACAAAGTCACTCCAAAGGAAGTTATTCTCTATATCACTATAGCACTGTTTTTAAATTCCCTAAAATGCCACCATTGTAGTCTTGAGTTTTCTTCCAGGAACGAACACATCACAATATTCCTCATTTAAATAATTCCCACACAAGGCATAAGTAAGTTTTTACACTCTAAATCTAGCACAACTATGGTAAGGGGGCATGACATTTCTGAAACACGCTTATAAAAAGCATTTGACCAATCACAACTCACTGATCCAGCTGACCAATCAGAGCGCATTGCACTTTTCGGAAGGAGGGGCTTCATAGAGACAGGAACTAAACAGAGCGTTACTGACAGACTGGAAAGAGAGATCCTTTTTTTTTTTTTTTTAGATTTAAGCATGAAAACCTGTTTAGTAGACCGTAAAAAAAAAAATCTAGACTTTATAAAAGGGCATAACATTTAAAAAAAAGTTAGGGTCTATTTTAATTTCATCTGTACATTAAATGAAGCACTACAAGCTACTCACCATGTGAACTGTGGAAGCTTGCGATGGTGTTCTTGCACATTTGAGGGCTTGTACAGGAAGTGCCTGAGATTAGCTACACCAATATTATCAAAACAGCTCATCTGAGTGTTTGCCACACACTGCAAGGCATTCTGGGATGCGAAAGCTTCTTCAATTTTCCTTTTGCACTCTGCCATGGCATAAAAAGCTTCTTTATCTGTAGACAGAAGAACAAGGCATACAGTACATGCGGGCGGGTCTAGATATGCCACATAAGCATAAAAGTAGCAGTCATGATTGAACAGAGGCAGGCAGATGGGCGTCCATATCTCTCCAGCCTGAAAAGCAGAGGCTCTGATGAGGTTGAAGAGGAGATGAAGGTCACTGGGTTTTAGCCTAGCATCCTCCAGGACCGTCTTCTCCTGAACGATGGAGACAAGTCGGTTATTGGCAATGAGAAAGGAAAAGACCAGATTCGGGGTGACGGCTTTCTGTAGGATTTGACTGAGAACGTCTCTGGAAGAGGATGGCAGAGGCAGGCACTGGACCGCCGAGAGCATGAAGCCGGGATCAGAATCCATGACATCGAGAAGGCTGTCCAGAATCTTCTCTGAGCCAAACAGCAGACGCCGTAGGTCATAGTTCTTCCGGCGCTCAAAGATACGAATTATGCTGGCCTGCGTGAGCAGGCTGACTATCTGATGATAAACATGGAGGAGCTCACTGCGGAGCTGCTGCTCAGACTGGCGAGTGGCAGAAACGGATACAAACACCAGCGGCCCCTTCTGCAAAAATACCACTGTGCGATTATCTGAGAGAAACAGAGGGAAAGAACATAGTAATATTAGCGGTTGTGTGTTGTCATATCAAATCTTAAATGATTAATAAACATATAGAACCTATATTTACATGCACAATTTAAAGATCCCGTAACAGCGTGTTCAATTTTTTGTTTGGTGATATAGGTTTTTGGAAGTTTTGACAGGACATATTGAAAGGCTCATCCTTTTTTCTTTTTTAAGTAGCCTTTCGTTTGTTGTTATGAACATGATTCCCCTCATAAGAAAACGTCTATGTGCTTGTAAGTGTTACGTCTGTTTCTAGGTTTGAGTTGTTAGCCTGTTAGTTGTGCACTGACTGTTCCCAGTTCAGTTTGTCCCAGTCATCTGTTGCAATAGTGTTTGGTTTGCCCTCATGTGTCTCACCTGTGTCATGTTATTATCTCGTTTTGTCCTGAGTGTTTCTCTCTGTATAATATATAAAGTTCTGATTTTATTGTCTCTTCTGTGGTTGTTCTGTTTCTAGATTTCATGAAGTGTAATTTTGAGTTTATTCTGATTAAAGTTACTGCTTGCAAATTGACCCAGCTCTAACGTGATTGGTTGTAGCGAGAACGTGCTACGATTGGTCAGCTCAATATGGCCGTTATCTGATTGTCTTGAGGAAACGTGTGCGTGAAGGGAAATGCGTGAGGGTACAAATGCACAGAAAGCGGTTCACAAATAAATGCCAGGCAGAGTTGTGTTTGTGACATAAAAAACATTTGTAAATATATTTTTTATTTGCAAATCTCATTTTATTTATTTGTGAGTTTTATATTTTTTTGTGAAACTCTTTACATTTATTTGTGGATCTTAATCTATTTATTTGTGAATTTGATATATTTTTGTGAATCTCTTTACATTTATTTGTGGATCATAATCTATTTATTTGGAATAATGCAACGATTCTCACCCCATATCTTTATTACTTTACTACACCGTTCCAAAGAAATCTACAACCTGAACCTGAAGTCTTTTGGTTTGTTGCTAAACTTAAGGTGCTGCACTATCAGACTTAAAACCTAAATGAAGATGGTGGATCTCACCTGAAAAAATAGATTGAATTGTGTTGCCTCCAGCCTGGACGAAGGAGACCAGCGCCATCATAACACCCATGGTGGAGGACAAGGCCTCCTCGTTGCCATAACGCGAGTAGATAGGTTTACCTGCCTCGCTCAGCACAAACATATGCTTCCTGTGTTGCCTCCAACTCTCTGACGTTATATCTTCATTCTGATAAGATGGACCTGGGACATCCACAGAACAACCTCCAGAGGGGTCCTCTTTCTGCCCGTTGAGGTTCGCCTGGGCCAAGCAAGATGGAAACTCACCAGAATCCTCTATTAGGGTCTCCTCAGGTTGAAACTCCCAGCTTCCTCTATTCTCGCTCATGTGCATGTCGTCTCTTTCTCATTTCCCTCAAAGTGAAAATCTTCAGTGTCTGGACTTGGTGTTCTTTTAAGGGTGTAAACACTTGTTCTATTGATGTCACACAATGGATCTCTGTGGCTCTCCATTACTCACTCTGGAATCCCAGAGGTATCACATGATGCCTGGGGATCAGAGAACGGTTAAAACTGTGTAATAGGATGAACATGATGCTTCGTTTCTTGCTGAAAGAACTGGTCTGTGCATTGCTGACTTAAATTATATTAAAGTGGGACATAAAACTGTTTGAATGCGAAAGCACTGTCAAATGTAGTGGAAATGTTGCATCCAGGTATACAATTAGGAGTATTTTGACAATGTTTTGGACGGGTTGATGAAACCATCACACCTAGGCTATACGGCTATAGGTCTTAGATTTAGACCTCGAAAACAAGTAAGAAAAAGGAAATTGATATGATATAAATGTAAAATATGATAAACATTTATCAAAATAATGAATAAAAAAATACAGTCCATACAAATTAAAAATTGGATGCTAGGCCTACCACATAGCATTAACCTCAAAACCATAACAATGTTTATGACATAGGCCCAACTATGCAATAACATTAGCCAACTACTACTGATTATTTTGTAATAAATTCAAACTGTAAAAATCGTTAAATTAATTTCATAATGACTGACAATGATGACTGATATTCCATTATAACACAATAAGCGCTTTTTGTGTGTGTGTGTGTGTGTGTGTGTAGCCTTTTATTTTGACGAAAACTATTCTATATTATTAAGCTGGTTTGGGTTTGTCCCAAAATGACTATAGGGCATATCAGTTCACCATGTGGAAGTTACTACTACTTATACGTTTGGAAATAGCAATTGTGTCATTACGTGATTGTGGTCGCTGGACATCTTTCTTTTTCACTTTCACAAGACGGCAATGATTTTAGCACTATAACTTAGGCTACTGTAATAGTGAAGAGCAAAAGTGTCTGTAGGCTACGCTGGTAATCGACGATGTGTCCGTTTTATTATTATTTGTGTTATTCAGCGTTCTCCTGCTGCCACAAAGGATGATGGTAAATGTAGGCTAGTTTATTATTTTCACAAGCTAAATGAGGGAGTTTTTGTGGTTTCTCCCTTTACCGCTTCAGGTGAGGTTCTAACCGCGGATTGGCTGGAATGATAAAGTAGGTGTGACGACGGCTGATGATTGACAACGCTGTACATGAAGTTGACCATTGACCAACAACAATCAGCGGGAGAAACTTCCCTGTGTCAGGTTTGCTGCCTGGATAACTTTACCAAGACGGAAACAGGGCATATTAGCGGCTAAATGATCATATATTTGTGATAAAGAAAGTTCAAAGAGTATCAAAAAGGACACAGTAAGATGCTGATGAGAGTGATTAAATTGTGATGGAAGCGCACCTGTTGAAGTTCGTGGAGCGGGTCCGCAGTTTGTCCGACCATGACAGCAGTGGAGACCAACTCATCTCCACCGAGTTCAGCGTAAGTCCGAAACCTTTATACCTCCTTTTTAGTTAAATATATAACTGGCAATGCTTCATATTACTTACCAGATCATATAAGTTGACACACGACGCTATTACTATGTTTTTGGATATTGTCATGATATGTAGGCTACAATAGTAAAAATGTCATTACAATAAACTTCTATTTGTGTAACGTTTTGCTTGAAAAGTGTTATTGTGTTATTTTTATTGGTATATTTGTGAACCCTTACGGAAATACTGTGGTGATATCATGGTACAGTGATGGTAATACCATACTTTGGGAAATACACACAGCCTACATGACACTCTCAGGCAGGCTACTTCTAAGAAGACCATTTAAAAAGAATGGTACCATGGTACTTTTGAGTACTTCCTTGTAAGTGAAGTGCCTTGGAGTATAGTGTAGAGACCATGGTAAATGGATTTGGAAATCATACAGTTCCAAAAGGACCACCACTGTATCATTGCATTACCATTTTTTTTAGGCATGATACCATGGTAATGATAGCAGTATTTGAAGTGTAAATACCATGGTATATGATTATGGTAATCAAATTTCCATGGAATAACCATCATAAACTGAATCATCACTATACCGTGGTACCATTAGAGTACGTTTTGGTGTAAATATATGATCAATTTATGGACATTTCTAACATTCTAGAGTTAGTTTTACCTTAGTGTTAAATATCTTTAGACAACTGTTTATTTAAATGTTTCTTTGCAAATGAGTTGATGACTGCATGCTAGATAAAAAAATATTCACACAACATTTGCATGAGCAACCGTAAACAGAGCTGAAAGATCTTACAGCTCATTCCACTCAAGCTTTTTTCATTTCAGAATCTTAAACCCAGCTGACGGAACCTTCTGTTAAGTTATGAACAAACGTTCTTCCAGTAATGTTAATAGAATGTTCATTCAAAGATATGTGGTCTTTAATAACATTCTCAAAACATTGGCACGCACAAAAAAAACAACAACTGTATTTATACATCGTTCATGGAACATCTTTCTAGTTTAGAAGTTTAGAGTACATTCAAAAGTATTTCATAATTGCATTATGTTTGCAAAATTATCAAATGTAACTTTCCCTCTAACGTTCTTATAACCAAGAAAAAAAGTTTTCAAAACGTCTTGGTTTAATGTTCTAAACTTTCAGAGGACATTCAGAAATAATGTTTTCATAACTTAATAGGAACATTAGCAAAACGTTCTAGATCCGTTAGCTGGGAAGAGGATTGTGCTTGTATTGAGTGCACTTTACATACACTGGATAATTAACTGTCCTGTTTAGACGTGAGAGCCACATCATACATATATATATATATATATATATATATATATATATATATATATATACATATGATGTAGGCTATGAGAGAGAAAAAGAGAGAGATCCATATAATGTTCAAGACATTTATGTTCTCTGCCAGACCAGTGAACTTTAATAATCTAAAATCATAATTGTCGTAGACTTAAAGGGATAGTTCACCCAAAAAAAAAAAGATTCTGTCAACATTTACTCACCCAAGTTGTTCCAAACCTGTATGAGTTTCTTTCTTCTGTTGAACATAAAAGATGATATTTAGAAGAATATGGGTAACCAAACAGTTGACGGGCACCAATGACTTTCTTCCATATATGGACTAAAATACTATGAAGGCAATGGGGTCCATCAACTGTCTGGTTTCTGACATTCTTCAAAATATCTTCTTTTGTGTTCAGCAGAAGAAAGAAACATACAGTTTTGGAACAACTTGAGGGTGAGTAAATGATGATAGAATTTTCATTTTTGGATGAACTATCCCTTTAACTGTTCGTTATTACATTCTACTTGTGGTTACAATGAGACCAACGTTTTACAGAAGTATCTGTTGCTTTTTGACTCGTTTGGCTGCATTAGTGAAAGTAAGAGGGCATTTGTAAGAAGCACAATCTACAGTTCCTTATTAAGTTTCTCGGTTTTGAACTACTCGGAAGATGAAGCGTCTGTGGAAAAAAAAACACTCGAGACTCTAGTGCTTGTGGTAAAAGGGGATAGAAAGTGATTGCTCTGTGGCTTCTTTTACAGAGACCCAACCAAGAGCGTTGTGTTGAAAATAACGCATGTGAGATGATCTCTTCTGTTTTTAAGAAGTGGAAGTAAAACAGAGAGCAGTTTTAGTCGGTGGCTACCTCTATTTACAGACGTTCATTACCTGTTTGTTTGTCTGATATGAGTTGAGGGCTTTTCGCTAGCAACTCCTAGGTCCATTTCACACGTACTCCAGTCCATATACTGTTGCACATTTTTTCTGCATTTATTAGAGCATTCACACTGCACATGCTGGGTGACAAGTGCATTGCAGGATCGGTGCGCTGAAGCAGTGCACACTGCACAATGGCCACTTGATGCTTACACACCGCATACAAACTGGATATGCGCTGCAAACGGATCATGTGTGAAACAGGAATGCATAAATGGATCAAAAGTATACCTTGAATGCAATGCCAATCCCTTTGCATAGAAAAGCATCTGCCAAATGCATGAATGTAATGTAAATGTTTAAGTAAATTAATGTTATACTTTCAGTATGTTTAGTCATAGTAGCATAATAGCATTAATTTGGGTTTGATCTGTAATGTTTCAAAACCACATCCACTCTCAATAAGACCCTTTCATGGCTTTTATGAGCTATTAAAAATGAATTCAGCATAGCATAACAAACAACAGGATGCCACCTTGTGGTGAAATGTTGCAACTGTGATGTATTTAAAAAATATATATATATTTTTGATCTCATACCTCTTTCCTTTTTCAGTTGATACGACGGAAAAGTGCATCATTGAAAGAGGAATATGGCCTGACAACTGTGGCAGGAGAAATCAAAGAAAATGTGAAGAAAAACCGCTATAGGGATATTCTACCCTGTACGTAGTCTTATCAGAGAAGGTTTATTTTAATTCTATTAAAGGTTATTAAGGCTTTTTCTAGGTGAAACAGTTTCTTTAATTAAATTCAATGCAATTCACACCATGCCGTTGTTATAAGAAATATGTGTTAGCTGATAACATGGACATGACTTTTATCTTTTTTCCAACATCAACGTTTTAGGTTAAAAGTTCAGTTAAATTCAATGCAATTCCATTAGTCCTGCAGTGAGACTTTAAACATATATATTTAATAAAGTTAATTTGTTGATGTTAATATGCAGTCAAAAAAGCTGCTTGTGTAATTCTACAATAAAAAATCTTGTCAGTGCTTAACAATAAGACTTTTTGTGCTGGCCCAGTCAGACTAATATTTTCACTGGTCCCTCCATAAACTTTATATCTTTTATTTTAAATAGATTTTTTTTTTCATGTCAAAAATAAATATTTATATTTTTCATTAAACATTACTTTTTAAACAGTTTGCAAAAGTGTATTTTTTTATATAACTAATGCATTTTACAGCTACAATATAACTCATCATGACACATAAATTCACAAACGCACTTTTACAGAAAAACAATGGCATATATGGTGTTTTTTTTATTATTATTTACAACCCATTTAACTGATGCTAAGACTGACACTTTTTGTGTGTTAGTATATTACATACTTTAATGTCCTATCAGGATTTTCCCATCTGACAGTGAGCACAGATCTCATCAGCTCTGAAATATATGTGACTCACAGTTCCTCTCAGTGTGACACAGAATAATGCACCGAAGTTATTTTACATGATTATCTGTCACGTCTGTCAAAACATGCCTCCTATAGTTATAGTACTGTTTTTTAGCATTGCAATGCCAAAAGCATGTCATAATATTTCATAACTGAGTCTCCACAATGTGTTTCCTGATAAATTTACTCACACTGATGGAGGAACAATATGCAAATCCTTGTTTTTTTTCCGTGTTTTTTTTTGTATTCCAGATGATCAGACCAGAGTCTGTCTAACTCCAACCACATCTGAATATGAGTCTGATTATATTAATGCCAGCTTCATCAAGGTACTGCAGTGTTTTAACTTCAACACTTCTTATATGGAGCATCATGCACTTTTTTGTGATAGAAAAAAAAGCTTTTTAAGAACGTAGTAGTTTATTTTGTACAGTGTGTGTAAGACACATCGGTGTAGAGGTACTTTTGTCCAGATAGATTTTGAAGCATTGATAGAAATTCTTTTTGTTGTATTATTATCATTTTCTATATTTTTGGCCACTAGGGAGCTGCTAAGAACAAGATGTATATTGCCACCCAAGGCCCTGTGAGCAGCACTGTGGTTGATTTCTGGCGTATGATTTGGCAACACAATGTAAAGGTAATTTCATTTCTATATTTGCATTATAGCTTCAATGCATCATTTTATTGCTTTTGAACTATTTTCACTTTTTAAAGTCTGGTCTGTTCTTTTTTTGTTAGGTCATAATCATGGCTTGTCGCGAGATTGAGATGGGAAAAGTAATCTTAATATTTCCTTTGTTGTTCTGTGTCATACGCCTGTCATTTTCTTGCCATTTACTGTTTTAACAACCTCTGTGTTGTTTAGAAAAAATGTGAAGTCTACTGGGCATCAACCACAGACACATCCACTTTTGGTCCCTTTACTGTCTCAACTGTAAGTGTTTTCTGTGCTTCTCAACAATGAACAATGTGTGTAATTCAAGTTTGGTCTAAGAGACAGGATATTGATCTTTCACAACAGTTCCTTTTGATGTTATCTCCACGCTTCGTGAAAGTTTTGTCAGTTTTTTTGTCTGCAGTTTGATGTGTAGTTCATGCAGTTGCAAGGCCCCACTAGATGAAGTTCTCCTGATTTCTGTCATTTTTTTGTCTTTAGTTTGAGGAGTTGCGACCAAATGAGGAAGTCGTTGTTCGGACGTTGGTGGTAAAATATTGTGATGTAAGTGGTGTCTCCAGTGTGTCATCATTAGTAGATGTGATATAGACCTGACGTAATGGAATTGTTTATATATATATATATATATATATATATACAGATATATATAGATATACAGATATATATATATATATATATATATATATATATAGAGATGAGAGAGTTAAATGTTGTTCCTTTGAGAGCGTTTCTATTTAAAGAAAATCTGTCAAACCACAAAATTGCAGTGTACTTCATTTTGAGTGTCTTGTAAAACACTGTTTACTCTGAAGGCTATAACCTTCTCTGTGTGTGATGTTTCACATTTTAGCTCATTTCAAACATTGTAATTTGGTGTTTGTAACCACAATCCATTCATTGGTCAAAACTCACCATCTTTTCCACACAGGAAGCTCGTAAAGTGTTTCATTTCCAGTATACTGCCTGGCCGGACCATGGAATTCCAGACATGCCGGATGGCATTCTGGGTATGATGGAGTTGGCTCGCCAAAAACAGAGGAACCAGACGGACCCTGTAGTGATCCACTGCAGGTCTGTATCACACACACAGCCGTCTCTGTGTTTTTTTCTGTGCCTCTGACAAATGACCCATCTGCCCATGAAAATGCATCAGGTCGTGTCCGTCCGTGTTGTTAGGGTGCAGCAGGGGCCGGCTTGTGTTCCTCTGCTTCCATGCATTTTAATGGCACCATTTAAATGAAGTGAGACATGTTAAATATTCAGCACCTGATGTGGCGCTGGAAAAGCCTGTTAACTTCCAGACTTCAGCACAGATTCACTCATTACCCTCTCTCTATATACATGAGAAAGGCTCTGTCCAACAATATGGCCCATCATTCCCCCCGTGACCCTCTGAACCAAGACTCGGGGGAGAATGGATCATATCATATGATATGGAAATGTGACAGCTTCTCTTGCTTTACAGTGCCGGGTGCGGTAGAACCGGGGTCATTTGTGCTGTTGACTATGTCAATGATCTACTACTGACAGAGGTATTAACATCATAACCAATAAAAAATGTATATACAGTGCTTGAAGGTGAAACATACACTGTATATATATATATATATATATATATATATATATATATATATATCAGCAACATAAAAATACAAGAGGATTTTATAGACATAGATAGATAGATAGATAGATAGATAGATAGATAGATAGATAGATAGATAGATAGATAGATAGATAGATAGAAATGCCATTGAAAGAACACATGCTAGAAATCAGTACTATTAATGTGATTTGATCTGACTAAAAAAAATTACATGCATATGCATTATTTTATTTTCAGCAAATACAAGAGGATTTTAATATATTTGACCTGATATTTGAGCTCAGAAGACAGAGACCTTCAGCTGTGCAGACCAAGGTGACATTACAAATTTGTTGTTGTTGTTTTTTTGCATGGCACAACCTAATTGAACCTTCTGCCCATTAAAGTAAAATATCAAAGCCTTGATGCTTAAGCTATGTTTTTATCTTATCTGAGCACATGGCTGGGCCCATTCAGCCCTCTCTGTCATATTGCACAACAACATGTGTATTCCTGATGACATTTTGTCATGTTTATGTGAATCTCCTCAGGAGCAGTATGGATTTGTCTTTCATACGGTTGCTCAGATGTTTCAGAAGGTCTTGCAGGTGAAAAACAAGAATACAGAGGTAAGATGCACACTGCTGCTCAAAATATATAAAAAAAAATAAAAAAAATTAAATATATTTCTATTTTGGCAAGTATGCATTAAATTGATCAAAAGTGACAGTAAAGACATTTATAATGTAATAAAAGATTTCTATTTCAAATAAATGCTGTACTTTTGAACTTTCTATTTATCAAAGAATCCTAAAAAAATATCAAGATACAAAAATATTGTCATTATCAACATTTATAATAAAAAGAAATGCTTCTTGAGCAGCAAATCAGCATATCAGAATGATTTCTGAAGGATCATGTGACACTGAAGACTGGAGTAATGATGCTGAAAATTTAGCTTTGTCATCACAGGAATAAATGACATTTTAAAATATATTCAAATAGAAAACATATTTAAGTTGTAATTATATTTCAAAATATTACTGTTTTTATTGTATTTTTGATTAAATAAATGCCGCTTTGGTGAGCAGAAGTGACCAAAATCCAAAAATCCAATTTAAAGGGATAGTTCACCCAAAAGAAATACATTTCTATCATCATTTACTCACTCACATGTCGTTCCAAACCTGCATGATTTTCTTTTATACTTTCATACAATAAAAGTAGTCCATATAACTTGTGCACTATATTCAAAGCCATCTAAATTCATATGACAGCTTTTAGTGAAGAGAACACTGAAATTTAAGTTGCTATTCATTTATAATCGTCCCCTCTGCCATAGCGCTGAAATTCACTGGTAACACTTTACAATAAGGTTCGTTAGTTAACATAACACATGAACTAACAATGAACCGCACGTATACAGCATTTATTAATCTTTGTTAATGTTAATTTCAACATTTACTAATACTTTAGTAAATTCTTGCTAACATTAATGCACTGTGAACTAACATGAACTAACAATGAACAGCTCTATTTTCATTAACTACATTAACAAAGATTAACAAATACACTAACAAATGGATTGCTCATGGTTAGTTCATGTTAGTTAATACATTAACTAATGTTAACTAATGAAACTTATTGTAAAGTGTTACCAATTCACTTTTAAATACATTCAAATATGGCATTTGAATAATGTCAAACTGTCAGCCTTGTCCTCATACTAAGCTATCATCAGACAAACTCCAAAATTATCTCAAAATACCAGTCTCGGCAAGTATTCTCATAAACACAGCCAGTTGCATCTTACATGAACGTAAACAGTTGAGAAAGAAATCAAATGTGTATCATTATATTGGATTCGTGCATTCGGTCTTAAAGTGACAGCAGCCTATAAATCCCTGCTGCTATCTAAGTCAGTAATGTTAAAGGGATAGTTCACCCAAAAATGAAAATGACCCCATGATTTACACATCCTCAAGCCCCATCCTAGGTGTAAATGACATTCTTCTTTCAGACGAATACAATCGGAGTTATCCCTTTAAAGAAAGAGTTCACCCAAAAAGGAAAATTCTGTCATTAATTAAGACTTTCGTTCACACACGAGAATGAACCTCATTGGTTCTTGTGGAAGTTCAAACGTGCTGCATAACACGAGAATGAACCTCATTGGTTCTCGTACGTCAAGCGAACATGCTTGAGCTTCTGTTTACCAGATCTGATGTGTGATATGATTAATGTTTATATGTGAATAAAAGCCTAAATTTAATCTGTTCATCATATAAAGCGATCGAGTCTCTTCAGAAATTTTTGGACTAAACTTTTCAAATCATATGGATTACTTTATGATCTCTTTTTTTTTTTTTTGAAGCGTCAAAGTGTGAGTAGCGTAGCTGTCAGTGGAGAGACAGATTTCATCAAAAATATCATTTGTGTTCCGAAGATGAACGAAAGTCTTACGGGTTTGGAATGATATGAGGGTGAGTAATTAATGACAGAAATTTCATTTTTGGGTGAACTATCTCCTTAATCAAACAACAAAACACAGTTTTAACACAATTAATATATATTTAATTTATACAGTGTGTATTATACCATAGTGTTATTTAAAATTTAGGCCTAATTATTTCTGTACCTGAATACTCTACAGTTAGACCTTACTTTATTTGTAACTTTGGTATATTGTATTTATCTATGCTTGTAATTAGTGTATTTGATTTGACTGTTCACTTCCTCCAATCATGTTTGAACTGTAGTGGTTAGGCTAGTAGTTTTTTCTTAGGTATCGAAGTACTTAAAGTGTGCTTTAAGTAATAGATTAAAAGTTACATTTACAACCATGTTGTTTAAAGTAAAATCTGTCTGCCATTCCATTTTTACATCACATCTTGTTTTACTTCCTCAAGACCTTGAGCCCTGAGCTTTAAAAAGGCAGTTTAGCAGGAAACACTTCAGTGTAGTGTGCTTCCTCTATGCAAATGCTCAGGCATCCTTCAACAGTTGAACACAGGCGCTCTGTGTAGCCGCTCTCCCACACGGAGTACGTATTTCACGCTTTATGTTTGTCTTTTTTCTTTTTTTATATTGGAAACACAAGACTTCGACCCCTCTGTACATCAATGCGGTTTCACCAAAGGCTTCATTGAAATCAGGATCATTAGGCAGCTTCAACGTACCTTCTAAAACACGGTAAGTCCACAAATGACCCTCATTTCCAAATTTCTAACTTCATTTGACTGTTTGAGGATGTCTGTGATTAAAATCAGTGGTGGCCACACAGCCAGAGGCCAATTCAAGATTGACAACAGCACAGTTCTGCTAACTACGGCGCCGTGTGTCACACAGGTGGACTCAGCCAAGATGCAAGCTGTTATTGTCGGTTCTGTCTCGCACACCACACTTTTCTTGTTTAACACGTAACTTCATCAGAGTTAATGTGAGTTAATCTCCTGAGTCATCGATGTATAGCTGGATATATATTTCTTCGCACAGTGGGATTCATGGTGGTGTTTCTGCTTTGCATACAGATAAATATTACTTTTGTAATGAATATTGAGAATATTTTGCATGACTGCGTGCTTAGATTATACGGAGCATGTATTCATTTTTTAAGTCGATGTGTTCTGTTATTGCAGTTCCCCTTGTGTCAATGATATATTGAATGCAAATGTGACAGTTGGTCATTATACGTTGCTCTATATGGGGTCCCACAATGCACCCAGAGCGAAATGTCTACAGTCTTACGTCACTGTATAATATAATGGAATCTACATTGTCACAAATACCCATTGACTTGGATATGTAATATGTAATATCTAAAATGGCAATGTAATTGACCTCATCTATTCACCATAGTGAGGCTTATATTATGACTAGATTCTTGCTTTTTTTATGGATGCTTGTCTGTGCAAAACTGTCCGCTGTGTTGCTAGCTAGTTGCTAGCAATGGTTGTTACTCGGGTCAAAGAAGTTCAAGTGCAAGTCTCTAATCTGTCTGTAGATATGTCTTTTTTTTCTTGCCTATTTTATCGTCCAACAAGTCAGATCAAAGAATGCCCCTAATAGGTGTACTTTATGGGATGGGAGGCGGGCGTGCTAACAAAGATTCTAGAGACCGCAGCCTCTAGCATCAGTCGCTTGTGCGCCTCTTGAGGCCTGGGGAGTGAGGTTTACTCATGCAGCTCTAACTACCTGGCCTCCATTACACTCAATCCCCCTAATTCTCACTCCCATCCGGGTCACGGCAGAAGTGTAAACCCTTTGGTTCTACTCGCATCGCTCAGAGCGGTATTTAAACCGGCGTTTCTGGTATGGGAGGCGGACATGCTAACAAGGACGCTGAAGACTGCAGCCTCTAGCATCAGTCGCTAGTGCGCCTCTTGAGGCCAGGGGAGTGAGGTTTAATCGCACAGCTCTTACTAGCTGGCCTGTTACTTTTCATTTAATGCCGACTTTAAATGTGTACTTGTCTGTCTGTGGTTTCAGAAATCCTCCTCTCAAGCCCAGGCTTTCTCACCCTCTTCCTCAGACCAGGATGAACGACACTTATGCGGTCGTCAACAAGCCAAAACTGCAGCCCCCCAGCTCTGCCCCCCATTCGGTCACTGTTCATCACTATGACAATGCTAATTCAGAGAAAAGCAATAAGATCGCTGTCTACAGTGCAGTTAAACCTAAAAACAGACCTGGATCACTTCTGCCTCCTCCCACCTCACCGGTTTATGACAGATTAACGTCAGCCAATCAGAGAGGAGGACTGTCACCTAAAGTAATGGACCATGACGATTATGAGCTATTGCCAGGTAAGGGACTATTTGAACGGCTCGTATTTTTATTAAATTCGTCTTTTATTCCATAATTAGTGGTGGCTTTTTTCAATTTTCACCTGACGAATGAAACAAATAAAAATGTCAGTAGCCGTTAAGTAACTACTAAGCAACAACCGTGAACCAGTATTATTTTAGTATTATTTATATGCTGTTATAGTATTTATAACATTTTGTAGTTTAAAAATATATTTTTTAGCTTTCATTTATTTGTATTCCTTTTTATTTTTTTAGTAATTTAGTAATTTATTTTAATACTGCAAATTAAACTTATTTTTTTCAGTTAGTTGCCAATGCAACATTTCTCAATTTGTTTAGGTTTTTAATCTAATCTAATCTATTTTAATTTCACCTTTATTGCAATTAATAAAAAAAAGATTTATTAGTATAATAGTTAACTAGACCAACAACACATACATTGGTCAGTGCAAACACCCTAGAAACTGCATAGCAACGCCCTGGCAACTGTCCACAACACTCAAGTTTTGGATGGGCCAAACACATTTATACTGAGAATCGCTGAATTGAAAAGGAATTTAAGTAGACAAAAAAAAACTGCAAACTCAGCTGAACACTAAAAGGAAGATCATTTCAGACAGAGGGAACTTGTTTGTTTAAGGAGAGTAAAGTTTGGAAACTTCTGCTTGCAGCTTTCACTGTCCTCTCATGACTCTGCTCTATTTGAGTTCTTCTCTTTCATGTGATCACCAGAGTATTCAGAGCCCTCTCATTTGGTGTTTGTCTGTTAAAAGATCAGTTATTTGAAGCTCATATTTCCATATCTCTCAGGGAATTAAAATGCCTTTTTGTTTCATCTATTATTGAACTTTTAAAGTATCGGCAGAGTCCTAACAGGTGAAGTGTGTAATTTCTGTGCCACAAAACAGAAATAGTCAGCAGCATACAGTGCATACTGAACAGTATTCAAGTAGTAAGCTAGTTTTACTTTTTGAACAAAGCCAGTGTTTTCAAGCAGGTTTCATAAACTCTCCCCTGTCTGCCATTGGTCAACCAAGCAGATAGTCCCGCCTCCAAATTCACAGCATTTGCTGAGCCAAAAGGTAACACGTCAGATGTTTGTATAGCACCAGTGTTTACATACCAGTTACATATCAACCTACCAATGGCTAACTCTATGCTTTAATATGTAGATGGTATAAAGCCTAAAAATATTTATATATATTTCGCCTTTAAAAAAAAAACGTATTGTTTTTGTAGTAGTAATAGTGGTGGTGGTCTGGTTATATACTTTTTATCAAGATAAAATAAAAAAATGTTACAATTCTTTTATTCCTGATTTCTGAATAAACCTTTTGTTTTTTTTCTCAGGGGAGTTGAGGTCCATGAATAGAGATGCACAGGTAAATGATCTGATTGGTATTAAGATTCTGCAGTCATTTATGCTTGGCAGATGGGTTCGTTCGGTTTTCATGTTAGCATATTAGGTGTCAAATTAAAGTGCTAAGTACATATTAATCTTATATGACTCATTTATATGCAGCTATTGGCCCGTATTTCCTCTCTGCACACTTGTAGATGTGTCAGTTTTCTCCTTTGTTTGTGTTTCACATTAGATGCACATTCAGCCTCTTCCTGTGATATGAGGCTTCTAGCTGAGATCACACTCACAAGTTAACAAGCTTTAGCAGACACTTACAGGCAGTACATTTAGTAAAAATAAGCTGACAGATTGAATATTTCCACTGAAAATGATTCTAATGTGTATTTGACTGATGATCACAGTCTGTGTAACCCTGATAATCACAGATGAAATCTGCCATCAATATAATTAAATCTAATTAAATTAAATTTGTGTTCCTCAGCCACAAGGTCCTCTTTCACGATCCCCAAGTGCAAGTAAGTGCGTTACGTGTTTAATGTACTATGCAAGTTTGTCTGGAAAACAACGAAGTGACATTTACACATTATTTATCAGTATTGTTTATTATTTATACAATTAAATGATTTTCAAATTATTTATTCGACAAAAAAAAAATCCTTATGCTAAATGGGGTGTTGATTTATCCCTTTTTTTTAGTTATGATACATGATTTATGGTCTACATGGACTTTTTGTACTTTTAAAAAAGTTTTTTGCTGCGTCCCAATGCACATACTATCCGTCCTAAATAGTATTCGAAATTAGAATTACTGTATCCCAAATCATAGCACTGCATGTTGAAATGAGTATTCCGAATGGTCTACTTTTTCCTGTTAGAATTCGAAGTGCAGATCCGTGAGCACTCTAATGGCTAATATTGCCCACAATCCATTGCACTACAAACTAAATTGCTAACTCCACTACAAACACAAATAAAAAGTGTTAAAAAAAAACATCAAGACGCATGTGCAAGTCTGACGGTAATAGGGAAAGTAGAGCGGTTTAGATAAAGGGGTTTGAGTGATGAGTAATCAGTATCTAACCTGACAAAAAGATATTTATTCAATGTTATCCACATTATATTTCATCTGCAACAGCATTGTGAACATTTGTACAGATATGTTTGGTCATTATCTTTTAAATGCATCATTATGCAAATTGCAAATAGGAGAGTCTCCGCATGTAAGACCCACGACTGGCAGATCAACGTGCTAGTTACTATATTTCTCTCTAAAAAAGTAGGACATTCAATTAAATTGAATGTGGAGGATTTTAACTGTGACAAGATGATTGACAGGATGCACGTAACTAAGCAACAGAGCAGTCCTTTAAAGTAGTATCATGTCTCAAAATTTGCCTAATCTTCTGATACACACATAAAAGTATGTACTATTTCTTCTTCACAAAAGTAGTAGGCGAATTGTAGGCAAAAGTAGTAGGCCCTGCGTTGGTCACACCGCAGGGCCATTTTAAGATGTTAAATTTTGATGTTGAATGATCTCATGTTATATGTCAACTATCCACTTTTGAATGCTTTCAAATACAGACTATAAAGAGTAAGGTGTGTTATTGTAAGTGATGTAGGAGTCGTTTCAGTTCCCCTTAGACTCCTTATCGACCAAATGAGTTTGAAACGCTATCTAGCAGTAAACAGGAAGAAGTGTTAGATCAGTGTCGGTTTCAATCTAATGCTCTTGAGGTTTGTTTTTAAGTTATTAAACATTGTTAAACATGTTTTTCTCAGCTGGGAGCCAATCTTCTATAGATGATGATTATGAATATGTGTCTAGCGTTGTCAGGGACACCAACAGCCCATTTGCCCCGGCCGGCCTGGGTGAGTTACACCATATGCACACTTAATCTTCATTGTGAACATAAGAAGATAAATATTTAGGTTTGGATGGGTTTTTGGACAAATCTGCTTGTTTCTACTTTCTCAATCTTCAAAAACAACCTTATTGTACTCATGTAAATTGCTAACTTAGTAAATAAAAATAAATAAATTGCTATTTTACAATAGGTAAATTGATAGAGGGTGGGCAGTGCACAGCTTTCCAGACCACACACGCACTTACAACCACAAAAAAGTGACATCACAGGGTGGTTTCCAGGCCTTAAAGCAACCGTGTTCATATCTGGGAAATGTAATCATCACTTTTACTGTTGCTCGAATATAGGGTTAGATGTTTAAACAAACCCCTAATCTTTGTTATTAAAGCAATTGTTCACTCAACAATATGTTTCCATCCAAAGGTGCAATTGTAACTTGTGTGCAAAATTGGAATATCACATAAACATTTGCGAATAAAGCACAGTATCCATTGTGTTCAAGAGAACAAACTTGCATGTGAGAATGGGATTACCCAGCCAGAGGAGCTCAGAAGAGACCAAGACCAAACAACCAAAACACATACACACACACACACACACACACAAAAGTGGCAAAATATCTGTAATAAAAATATAAGTTTGCAATCAGAGAGGCAACTGTGGCTCTTTTGTCCTACATCATAAATGACTTGCACTTCAGAGTATGCAGACGAAACACAATAAACATTGAGACGTTCAGATGCCTGATGTCTGAGAATGCAATCATGTGAGACACTTGGAGGTCGTTATAGCCTACCCAATCATTTCGATGATAGACTTTGGCTCAAGCATTTCAGAATGACCAAACCAACATTTGAGATGCTGTGCAATGAAACTGATCCGCTGGTTAGTCCAGTTATCCAATCACATCCTCTGTTGAGGCAAAGTCATGCGAGTTTTTTGTTGCGCATTGAGGGATTCCTTCAGTACACGAGTCTCCATCGTAGTTTTATGCGCATGTCTTCTTATCAGATAAAAAAAAAAAATTCAATTCAATTGAGCGCATATGTGTCCATCCAGCATTTTTGTATCCCAAAATTTTTATAAAAATAGGTGGATGGAAACATGCGGAGCAAAAATGACACTTTGAAAGAAAATTGGTTAGAAACTAGCTGTGTGAAGATTCTTCAAAAATCTTTGTTCCGTTGACGCAATGAAGCTAAGCGAACTGCCGACGAATGGAGCATTCACATTGAATGTGAAACGATTGAATGGCTTTAGCTAATTCACGGCTGCACGATAGGTGGCGCTAATTAGCTGAAGGCTTAGCAAGCCCTTTCGATGATGTCGTGTTCTTCTGAACCTGTAAAAATCTAACTGACCGAGATTTGATCCTGATCCAAGATCCATTTAAAATATTACTTCATCATGTTGACCTGTGCTCTGTTATCTTGTGTTTCTCAGGGCACATGGTGATTTTAAACTTTGTATGTGTTTGTCTTGCGTTTCAGGTTTCAACTGTCGCATAAAGAAACCCAAAGGCCCACGAGATCCACCGGCCGAATGGAGTCGCGCAGAAAGTTGAAACCGCAACAGGTTTAGGTTTAAAAAAAGTGAACCTGATGCACAGCTATTTGTACACTGGGTAATAGAGCATCTATTTATTTCCTTCAGACGTTTCGCTTCTAGTTTTCTAGTTTTGTTTGTATTTGTATTTAATTATTGTAGCAATTTGTGATCATGTTGTTTAGTTTATTCATGTATTTGTGTGACAACTTTAAGAAATTGAAAATTTGAGTGCTGAACTCATGTGTGATGTACAGTAAAAGGGGCCATTTCATTTTTTATTTTATTTTTTTTATTTAAGTTTTAGTCCACTTACTTTATTCACATTTTTATGTGCCATAATGGTAAATGATGGTGTAATTAGGGCCGGAGCACCGATGGTGTGAGGACCCAATTGGAATTGCTCTGTTTTCTGTATATGGAATGGTAATATATTCTGACATCAGTAAGTTGTTATTTAGTATTCTGTTTAGTTTCAGTAAATGTTCGTATTGGATGGTTTTCGATATGTTTTAACCTTTTTATCTCAAGAAATCAAGGAAAATTTGATATGATATGACACCCTTTAGCAGGGGTGTCAAACCACACTCCTACAGAGTTTAGTTCCAATTCCAAACTGCGTTTTTGCACCCTTGTGCAATAGTACACTTCAGGAAGGGGACACCAATTGTAGGGGCGTTCCAAACTAATCAATCCCTTCACGAAGGGCCCTTCCACAAGTCCGTTAGCGAAGGGAACATGCGATGGTCTTTTCAAGGAAGTAATTCAATCATTTATGGTCATGTGACCCAAGGTGACAAGTCCTCACCGTTGATTTTAAATCTAGAAATGGCGGGAGAGTTGGAGTTAATGTATAAACAGATTAATTCAAGTCATTTTGTTTTGTGATATATTAGACTCATTTTCGTCATGCAATTCAATATAAGTTTAAAAAAGTTAAATAGGTAAGAAATGTGTTTAATGCTTTATGTGTTTAATGCTTAACTTTATAAATATAAGTGCAGCTTGAGAACACACACACACACACATAAAGCATATTTTAAAAACTTAATCATAAAAGTACATTAATTTGTATCGTATTAACAGCAATAATGAGATATTCCTTTGTTGTGGTAACATGTGAAGCTAATGAGGAAATGACTTGGTCTTTCATTGCTTCCTTTGCCAAGTGCATTCTAGGCAGTTTCATTATGACACACAAGCACCCTGCTCCCTCCAAAGCCCCCACTTCAAGGGATCTACAGTACCCTTCAAAGTGAGTAGGGCATAGAGATGCTCGCTTCCGATTGGAATTTGCTTATACCTGTAGTTTTCAAATAAGCCTGAAGGACTCGACTAGCTGGATCAGGTGTGTTTAATTCATGTTGAAGCTAAACTCTACAGGGCTGTGGCCCTCCAGGAACTGAGTTTGACATCAACAGCTTGTCTGTGGTTGTTGCGATATGATGCGTTTGTCAGTAGAGGGCAGCGTTGAGGTGTAGTTGCTCTTCATGACACTCCCCAGAAAGACAGATCACTCGGGTCATAAAAATAAAGTCATTTACAGACAATATAACATTGTGCATAATTATTGATGCCACATCTTATCTATGAATCTACCCTTTTTGATAGATTACCATAAGAACATCTTAATACAAGACGTTGTGTATAAGAGTTTTAAATTCAGTTCTAAATCCTGTGCGGACTATCTGTCCAATCTTAGCACTCATTCCAGAGATAGGACCATAAAACTTGCCCTCTAAACTCCAGTGCGATTTTATTTCAGTCATGAAAATCAATGGAATCTTAAGTTGTGCTTAAAGCAGAGAGCACGTTTTCCCAGATGCTCGGCCTATTGGCAGCGTTCCTGTATGCGTGTTTTTGATGATGAATCATTCTTGCAGTATGGTAACAGCAATATCATGCAGAAATGCTGTGAGATGCTCTTTAGACCATATCAAACATGCATCGCCTGGTTAAGCGGACCGCTTTAAGCATAAAGACTTGAAATCATGTCCTGTCCGATGGCTGAAGTATCTGAAGACTTCTTATAAAACAAATAGATCTGGTCCTGGATGCTGATTGGACAATATACCGTTCGTGAAATGTGATATAGGTTGACTTTTTATGGCATTTTTGCAACCGTGGCGTGAAGAAAGATGCTACTTTTCAAGAATATAATGAATGTATAAGTATGAATTGCGCTGACATTATCAAGATAACATTCTGATTTTTCCAAATAAAGTTTCAGTGGCATATGTTTTCATGTAGAACACGTAGAATGTCATTGTCATCAGGTGTTATTTTTAAAAGACTTAACATGATTTACGTGTATGTGTACTGTATGTTGTACAATGCATGTTGTTGTTGTTATTATTTTCTTCAATATATTAATGTAATTATGTTTTTTTTAAAAATGTATATATAAAAGGAACTGGCTTTTTGTTATGCTTTTTGTTTACTGTATATTATTATGTACTGTATATTTTTCACACACACACACACACACACACACAAACCAAAGGTGTATTAAGTAGTACACAATTAAATAGGAAAAATAGAAATATATGGAAAAATTATTTTCTATTTTTATTTAGACTAATAAATGGTTTACTGCTGTAATACACCTTTGATCATTCGTGTTGCTGTACAAGAGCTGTCCAAAACAAAAGCAATGATTATTATATCAAAAAGTCCCTGAAGATGTGTTTTAGCCTGAGGGAGATTTTCTCTGAAGGTGTTGCAGTCAACAGAGACTCCATTTTTAGTCATGCAGTGAATATTTTGACTCCAGCCCTGCTCCAACTAACTAACTCTCTCTCTGTGTGTGTGTGTGTGTGTGTGTGTGTGTGTGTGTGTTTATGAGTGTGATGAGACCCGAAAGAGCTCAATAGAGGAGTTTGAGGACACACCGACGGATGGTAACTCCTAGGAAAAAAATAACAATGAAACATCAACAGACAGACAAATAAGAGAGGCTGTTTGCTAGTGTTCTGCTAATGGCTGCTCTGTTAGCAGTAAAGCCTTTAGGGTGTGTGTGTGTGTGTGTGTGTGTGTGTGTGTGTGTGTGTGTGTGTGTGTGTGTGTGTGTGTGTGTGTGTGTGTGTGTGTGTGTGTGTGTGTGTTGGTCTCCTCTGAGCTCCTCTGGCTGGGTAATCCCATTCAGCACATGCTAATGTGAAACCAGAATCTAATGACCTTCTGCCATGGCTTTTCAACCCAGGCCTGGAGCAATCTCACAGCAACATCTCATAGATGCTCTCTCCAAGAACGCCCCCACACACAAGCATCCCAGTGAACAAACCATCTTACCATAAAATCTCTCTTATCCACAACATCGCTGCAGAGCGGGTCAGGCGTTATGGTTTGAGTGAATTATTATTGTAATTTTACAGTACAGTCACAGTTACTGGCAATATCCCAATATGCATAGTATCAGTTCTACATAGTGTACCACAGTCATGCCAATAAAGTCAGTTTGAACTTGAATATAGCGTGCAAGATTAGAATTAGAGACTACTTTTAGACCCAACTTTTTTAAAAGCTAACTTTTTGTCCAGTCATAATGTATATACACTAGCATTCACAAGTTTGGGGTCGGTAAAACGTTTAAAATATTTTTAAAAGAAGTCTCTTGCTCAGCAAGGCTGCATTTATTTGATCAAAAATAAAGTAAAAACAGTAATATTGTGAAATAGTACAATTTAAAATAACTGATGACTGAAATAATGGCCACTTTATTAGGTACACCTTGCTAGTACCGGGCTGGACCCCCTTTTTGCCTTCAGAACTGCCTTAATTCTTCATGGCATAGATTAAACAAGATGCTGAAACATTCTTCTGAGACTTTGGTCCATATTGTCATGATAGCATCACGCAGTTTCTGCAGATTTGTCGGCTGCACATCCAATAATGCGAATCTCCCGTTCCACCACATCCCAAAGCTGCTCTATTGGATTGAGATCTGGTGACTGTGGAGGCCATTTGAGTATTTGAACAAAAAAAACAAGTTTGAGATGAGCTTTGTGAGATGGTGTGTTACCCTGCTGGAGGTAGCCATTAGAAGATGGGTACTTGTGGTCATAAAGGGATGGACATGGGCAGCAACAATACTCAGATCGGCTGTGACGTTTAAACGATGCTCAATTGATACTAAGGAGTCCAAAAAGTGCCATGTAAATGACCCCCACACCATTTCACCACCAGCAGCCTGAACCGTTGATAAAAGGCAGGATGAATCCATGCTTTCCATGTTGTTTAGTCCAAATTCTGACCCAACCATCTGAATGTCGCAGCAGACATCGAGACTCATTAGACCTCAACAGTCTTCTATTGTCCAATGTTGGTGACCCAGTGCAAATTGTAGCTTCAGTTTCTGTTCTTGTCTGACAGGAGCATCACCGGTGTGTCTTCTGCCGCTGTAGCTCTTCTGCTTCAAGGTTTGATGTGTTGTTGCGTTCAGAGATGCTCTTCTGCAGACCTCGGTTGTAACAAGTGTGATGTGAGCTTGCCTTTCTATCAGCTCGATAGTCTGGCCATTCTGCTCTGACCTCTGGCATCAAGACATTTTTGTCCACAGAACTGCCACTCACTGGATATTTTCTCTTTTTCTGACCGTTCTCTATAAACCCTAGAGATGGTTGTGCATGAAAATCGCAGATCAGCAGTTTCTGAAATACTCAGGCCAGCCCGTCTGGCACCAACAACCATGCCGCTTTCAAAGTCACTTAAATCACCTTTCTTCTCCATTTTGATGCTCAGTTTGAACTTCAGATCATCATTACAGACCAGATTGTTAAGTTAAAAACCAAATACAGTATATAAAATTAGGGAAACGTCGTGTGTAGATTTTTGCCCATTAACCCCTTTTTACTGTGCATGTAAACACCTTTATTGGCATTCTGGCAGCTTATGCAGTGTGTATTGTGTGCGTGTCCATTTACAGTTTGATTTATATAATGAGCTTTTTGATAGTTTCCAGTGTTTTGTTGTACATTAAAATGCACTCATTAAGCACTTAACCCCAGTTTATTATTGAAGTTTTACTCATACAGCTATAAAGAACAGGACGCTTGGTGCATCCAGAACAGTTGGTACATTTACCAGCTCCCATGAAGGCAAGTCAGTTAACACTCTGTGAGG